GAGTGCAAAGTCTCGAATATCCCCAGCTCCGTGATGTCGTCATGGAGGAGTGGAAAAGCATTCCAGTGGCAACCTGTGAAGCTCTGGTAAACTCCATGCCCAGGAGAGTTAAGGCAGCTCTGGTAAATAATGGTGGCCTCACAAAATATTGACACTTCAGGAACTTTCACTAAGGGGCATACTCACTTTTGTTGTCTGTGGTTTATACATTAATGGCTGTATATTGAGTTATTTTGAGGGAAGAATAAATTTACACTGCTATATAAGCTGCACACAGACTACTTTTCATTGTGTCAAAGTGTTATTTTGTCATTGTTGTCCTATGAAAAGATATTTTTAAATATCTGCAGGAATGTGAAGGGGGTACTCACTTTTGTGATACACTGTAATTGAAGCAAAGTGCTTCCAGTATGATTCTTGGCATGTATGGAACATGACATTTGTTTGTCTCTGTGTCGCTGTGACGGACTGGAGACCTGTCCAGGGTATCCCCCGCCTCTCACACAGTGACCCCCACAACCCGACAAAGACGAAGCGAGTAAAGATGATGGCTGGCCAACTTGGACTAGAAGCAATCTGAGGTGAATTTGTCACAAAGGTTTGTAAAGAGTTAATTATGGAACAGACGGGACATCTGTCCATCATGGACATATGGAGACAACCATTCATACCTAGGGACAATTTAGTCTCCAATCAGCCTAACATGCATGTTTTTGGTCTGTGGGAGGAAACCGAAGTATCCAGAAAAAAGCAGAGAACATGCAAGCTACCCAGAAAGATCCCTGGCTGGTATTGGATCCAGCAACCTCACAGAGAAGCGGGAGCTCTACCAACTGATCCACCATGCCACCCACAGACGGGCCATATGAGACGTAAAGGAGAATACAACCAGTGGATTCAAAGAGCCAAGGCTGATTTTAACCCTTAAAACTATAGTGTGCTTGTTTTCTGCACAGCTTGTCAGTGTTTGGTAAATATACAAAGGTGGAAACGGTACTGAAAATGTGTACTCAAGTACAGTTACACTGCTTAAATTGTACTCAATTACAAGTAAAAGTACTAGTGTTAGTGTTAGTAGTGTTGTACTTAAGTAAAACTACAAAGGGCTCTTCTCAAAAACTACTCAGAGTATTAATTACTACCTAAAGTCAGAAAAGTCAAACTAATAATCCACACATACAAACAATAAAAAAGCAATATATTACATATTACAGATAGCTGTAAAACCTCGTATACCACAATATGTATTATTGTAGCAGTCTTGTAAGCTGCTATCACCAGAGATCAAACACAGTTTGCATCTGGATATGGTCTTCTTTTCGCCCTCTGCACATGAAACATTCCTCCAGGTACAGCCACGGGCACTCAGCCTTTACCTTGTCATTTTCTCTGTTGACAGTGTTGTCCTCTGTCTCCATTTTGGCTCTTTCTCCAAACCTTTGGTCCATAAATGACTCCCCACTCTACGGAGTTGTCCTTTGATTTATGTCATAGGTAATTAGCACGTTTGCAACTTATTGGCTATACAAAGATGCATGTGAACGGTTTGAATATTAATTCAAATTGTGGATGTACTCAGTAGCAACTTCTGATTTTAAAAGTAGTCTAAATTGTACTTAAATATGAGTAAAATTACACACTTGAAAGAAATACTCATAAAAGTACAAGTACCCAAAAAATCTACTTAATTACTGTAACGTGAGTATTTGTAATTCATTACTTCCACCCCTGTAAAATATGATGTGACATACGGCTGCTCAGACTGTTGTTCTGTGAATAACTGGCACATTATAGCTTTCAGTGACCTGGTTGAATCGACTAAAAAACATCCAAAACAAAAAGAAACTCACCAAGCAGCATTCTGGTTGTCCACTCTAATGACAGAACAGACATTTTTATTGATAGATATTCTGATAAACCATTCACTACAAATATCCTGATGCATGCTCAATAATCCAGGTAGAAAAATCTAAAATCCTTCAGAAGGCACAGACCCAGCTGCTGAATGAACGGGTGAGACAGACCAATTTTACTACTGAGGCCTTGAAGGCCAAAGAAGAGCACATTAAACAGAAACTAACAACGTGTCTAGATCAGACCACACTTCAGCAAGTGATGGACTGTACAGATCAGGCACGCTTAGCACAGCATGTCAAGTCCAAGACTCGACAACAAAACAAGTTTAACGTACTAATAACTCATCAACACCAGCACTATTCCAATAACAACACATTCAGTGTAGGACAACACTCCAGTAGTCAATTACATGCCAGGGAGACAGAAAAGTGGGTGAAGAATTTATCTGACAGACAGCTCACCCAGCCAGAGACAGAGATTCTTGTCAGGGGACTGAACTTTGTGGTTGCACCAAGTAGACTTCCTCTGGTGGAGATGATCACAGCCACAGAATCAGCCATCCGCAACAACAAAATTAAAGAGGCTGAAGCAGAACAGCTCAGAATCAAAGTTTCAGCCTGCCTCAGCAATGCCAAACCACCACCTTCCAACATCAGTAGAGAGGAGAGGGACGCACTCACCACTCTTGGCAAGGAAAAAAACATCATCATTCTCCCAGCAGACAAAGGAAGGTGCACAGTGATTTTGAACCAGAAAGACTATCATGAGAAAGTTATGACACTCCTTAGTGACTTAACCACTTATGAACCTCTGAAAAGAGATCCAGGAAGTGGTTACAAGAAGAAATTGATAGATTGCCTGAAAATTTTGGAGCAGGACAAGGCTATTGACCGTTTTCTGTACCACAGACTGTACCCAGGGGAGGCCACACCTAGTCTGTATGGTTTACCTAAAATCCACGAACAAGGTGTACCTTTAAGACCAATTGTTAGTATGATTAACTCTGTCACTTACAATGTTTCCAAATATCTGGCGTCTGTACTCATCCCTTTAGTTGGCAGCTCAAAACACCACATACAGAACACCATGGACTTTGTGGATAAGGTGAGGGATGTCATCATGGAGACTGATGAAACAATGGTCTCTTTTGATGTCACATCACTCTTTACATGCATTCCTGTTGATGATGCAGTAGAGGTGGTCAGTTTAAAATTAAAATCAGACACCACTATGAGCAGCAGGACCACGCTTTCCACAGAACAACTGTGTCAACTCTTGAAACTGTGCCTGCAGTCAACCTACTTCACATATGGGGAGCAATATTATAGGCAGAAACATGGGTGTGCTATGGGGTCTCCAGTTTCTCCTATTGTTGCCAACCTGTACATGGAGGAGGTAGAAAAGAGAGCCTTGACGTCCTTTTCAGGGACACCACCAAGTCATTGGTTCAGGTATGTTGACGACACCTGGGTTAAAATCAAATCTCAGGAAGTCCAACATTTTACTGACCACATCAACTCTGTGGATAAATACATCAAGTTCACACGAGAAGATGAAAAAAATGGCAAGTTGGCTTTCTTGGACTGTGAGGTCTCAGTCTCTGATAGAGGACATTTGCAAACTGAGGTGTACCACAAACCCACCCACACAGACCAGTATTTGCAGTTTGACTCCCATCACCCTTTGGAGCACAAGTTAGGAGTCATCAGGACTCTGTATCACAGAGCAGACAGCGTCCCCACTAGCTCAGGAGCCAGGCAGAAGGAGAAATCCCACACAAAACAGGCTCTAGAGCAATGTGGATATCCTAACTGGGCCTTCCTGAAAGCAGAGAAGAAACCCAAACAGGACTCCAGTCAGTCAACAGGTGAAAAGGAGGAACTCAGACCCAGACCAGTGGTCATTCCATATGTTGAGGGAGTATCAGAGAAACTGATACGTTTATTTTCTAAACATAACGTCCCAGTGGCTTTTAAACCCCAAAATACATTACGGCAAAGACTGGTTCATCCCAAAGATCCAGTCCCCCGGCACAAACAGAGTAATGTTGTGTATGCTGTTCAGTGTCAGGAGGGCTGTGATCAGTCTTACATCGGGGAAACTAAACAGCCACTGGCCAAAAGGATGGCCCAGCACAGAAGATCAACATCATCAGGCCAGGACTCTGCGGTCTACACTCATCTCCAGGCCAGCGGTCACTCTTTCAGGGATGAAGATGTTCACATCCTGGACAGAGAGGAACGATGGTTTGAGAGAGGAGTAAAGGAGGCCATCTTTGTGAAAAGAAACCGTCCATCATTAAACAGGGGTGGAGGCCTCCGGGTTCAACTGTCCCCCTCTTACAATGCTGTGATTGCTAGTATCACTCAGCCCTCTGTGAATAGTAAACAGCCATCAGTGTGTTAATGATCCATTGTTGGACTGATGGTCCTTCTTGAGCATGTGATCAGCTGGTTTGGTTGTCAGCAGCAAAACTGGTTGATCCACTCTGAGAAGGTGCTATTTAAGAGACTGGGCTGAATACAGCTCCTCAGAATGAGGAAGTCTCTCGGATGAGAGACGAAATGTTTCTACATTTTTTTGTTGTTTTGCTTTGTTTTGTTTTTTTGAATGTCCAGAGGACCAGATTTAACTTTTTTAGACATTCACTACAAACATTTAGCCAAAAAGGGCAGTGAGGCTGCAGCCTCAGTCTACCCATGTCTTATGTTGTTTGTTTGTGTTTCTTTGGACGGCTGTACTGAAATGAAATTGTGTGGTGTTTTTTGTTTAATGACAATAAAAACATTCTGATTCTGAAAAAAACAAACATTTTCTAATATCCCAGAGGACAGCTGTTAAGGGATTTTAATAAGCAGCTGAGGGGCCTTTTTTTCTCCTCACAACATCCAAGTTGTTGCTGGTCACAGCACATTCAGCTCCAGCAGTCTTCAACAGAATGGATGAAGATTGCTCAACGTTTCAAACCAGCATTCGTTTTTTTCCGATTTTTACAAACACAAACTAAAAATACTTTTATTCTAAATGCTTTGAAACAAAGTTAACCTTTGACCATTTGCACTCTCGGTGAGTTTTGTGAATAAATAAATATATTACGATGGTATTTTAGAAAACTTTAATATAAAATGTGCTCAGCAGTTCAGGATGACAGGTTAAACCGAGGCCAGCAGTGGGAAGCCTTGAAAGAAACAAATACATGTTCAAACTAAAACAGTTTGACATGGAGCCGATCAAACGTGTGCTGTAGTTTCTGCTCTGCAGATAAATTCAGAGTTGAAGTTTTTATCAAAATATTTACAGTATTTTTTGCAAACTTGCTAAAAAAAACGCATCCCTTCCAGTCACACAAGATGTGAAAACTATGTGAAGCTTGTCAAACTTGTGGTTAATGAGGACTTGTGTATAGATGGGTAATAATGGATTGACGTGTGGTAATCAGTCAATACTGTATTCAAAGTGATAGTCCTGTGTGGGCTCTGAGTCCATGTTGATGCTGTCGAATGGGTTCTCTGTCCAGCTGTCCACAGGGAACCAGGAGTCGTACCAGGAGGTGGTTCTTTTGGTTTCAGGTGGTGTGGTGGTAGTTGTGGTGGTTGTGGTTGTTGTAGTTGTAGTAGAGGTTCTGGCTCGAAATCTCTGCATTCTGCGTAAACGCATGAGCCGCAGCCGCCTGAGTCGTTCTGCATTCTGAGCACTGGCATGAGCGTCCGTCCCTGCAGAGGTGCTGGTGTCGGCTGTGATGCTCGGCGTAGTTGCTTTCACCATCTTTGGTTTGGTGACCAGTCGTATGGGCCTGTTCCCGTTGAGTGCCATGATTTGCTTTATGCGGTCCCAGTTGGATTTGGCTAAGGTGAAGCTGCAGGACGTGGCTCCGGTGTCGTAGCCCACCATGCAGAGCCGTGTCTGCGGAGTGTGTCCATCTGCTTTGGCTGTCACCTTGTACTCACCTGGATTCAGCAGCCGCCAATAATCCCCACCAGCAGCTAAAATCAACAGTCAGGGGGTCACTAGTTAGACTCATACAACTAATATGTGAAGTTAAATATAAAAATATATTCTGAATTTTGAAAAAGTTGGGACTTGTAAAATATAAATAAAAATAGAATGCAACGATTTGCAAATTTCTCAGACCCATATTTTATTTTACATAAAAAGTAGTAAGCAAATTAAATAATTAAACTAAGCAATTTTATCCTTCTTTAGGAAAAATAAGTTAAACTGTTATTTGATGGCAGCAACACATCTCAAAAATAACAGGACAGAGGCAAGAAGTGGCTGTAAAAGTGGGAACAACTGGACTCAGTCAGAAGACTGGGTTTAATAAAAGAGGCTGGATTCTTTGAGACGTGAAGACGGGCAGAGGTTCACCAATCTACAAGTGAAACAATTTCAGAATAATGTTTCTCAACATAAAATTGGAAAGATATTAAATATCCCATCATCTACAGTTCATAACATCTTCAACAGATTTTACACATCTGGAGAAATCTCTAAGCTCAAAGGACAAGGCCATGATCTTTGGCCCTCAAGGGCCACTGCATTGAAAACAGAATGTGTTCTGACATCACAGCATGGGTTTAGGAACACTTCCTCAAATCACATGAGGTTACTTGAACCATCAACAAGTGCTGGCTCAAGCTCTGTCATGAATAAAAGAAGCCACATCTGAACACCATCCAGAAACACTGTGGTCGTCTCTGGGCCGAAACTCCTGTAAAATGGACCGAAGAAAAGTAAAAAAAAAAAAAAACTGTTCTGTGGTGAGATAAAATCTTTTTCTTTTTTTTAAATGACGGATGCCACATCCTCTACAGCAGGGGTTCTCCAACTTTTTTGGGTTCAGAGACACCTTACAGGGGAGAAAAAGCTTCAGGGACCCCCTCATAACCCTCATGTTTGTTAAATAATTTTCTTCAATTTGTCTCTTTAATGCAATGGAAATATTTGTGTAACATAAATACTTAAGACCTGTTCTTTGATAGTGTTAATACAATTTTCATACTTTTAAACTTCCAAAAATGACAGTTATGAGAAAATTACCAGTATCAAAAACCTCTTTAAAACTTTTCCTATTCACATAATGAACATAATTAATGTATCACCACTTCTTTAAATTATCACAAAAAACTCTACATAAAACTGAACAGAATCAGAACAGCAGTAGTTGGACCAAGTAACAGGATTTCATTTGTAAACTGATCGATGCTGGAATGTAAATAGCGAGCCGGCGGGCAGGGTGGTCTGGGGGTCCTCTACCAGAAAATTTTGAATAAAGTAGATGTGATTTCCTGCATTTTTATGTATTTTAATGGGCTATTAAATGCACCGGTTCACGGACCCCCGGAGGTCCAGGGTCCCCAGTTTGAGAACCACTGCTCTAGAGAGAGTGACCATCCAGTCTGTTACCAGTTCACTGTTCAAAACAAGCCTTTCTGATGGTATGGAGGTGCATTAGTGCCATCACTAAAAACATTTGATGCAAAGTAAAACAAAGCAGAACTGTTGAACAGCTAGAATTCCATATCAGACAAGAACAGGACAGAACCCCCCTCTTAAAACTATAAACTTCTTTCATCATTTCTTAAAGGTAAAATGCTGCCCAGTGGTAAACTTGGCCCTATACCCACTTTTATTTACATGATTCAAAATTCCAATTCATCCATCCATCCATTTTCTTCCGCTTATCCGGGGTCGGGTCGCGGGGGTAGCAGCCTAAGTAGGGAGGCCCAGACTTCCCTCTCCCCAGCCACTTAGTCCAGCTCCTCTGGGGAAATCCCGAGGCGTTCCCAGGCCAGCCGAGAAACATAGTCCCTCCAGCGTGTCCTGGGTCTTCCTCTGGGCCTCCTCCCGGTGGGACGTGTCCGGAACACCTCACCTGGGAGGCGTCCAGGAGGCATCCTAACCAGATGCCCGAGCCACCTCAACTGGCTCCTCTCGACGTGGAGAAGCAGCGGCTCTACTCTGAGTCCCTCCCGGATGATCGAGCTTCTCACCCTATCTCTAAGGGAGAGCCCAGACACCCTGCGGAGAAAACTCATTTCGGTCGCTTGTATCTAAGATCTTGTTCTTTCGGTCACAACCCAAAGCTCATGACCATAGATGAGGGTAGGAACGTAGATCGATCGGTAAATTGAGAGCTTTGCCTTTTGACTCAGCTCTCTCTTCACCACGACAGACCTGTACAGCGCCCGCTTCACTGCAGACGCTGCACCTATCCGCTTATCGATCTCACGTTCCATTTTTCCCTCATTCGTGAACAAGACCCCAAGATACTTGAACTCCTCCACTTGGGGCAGGACCTCCTCCCTGACCCGGAGAGGGCACTCTACCCTTTTCCGGCTCAAGACCATGGCCTCGAATTTGGAGGAACTGATCTTAATCCCAGCCGCGTCGCACTCGGCTGCAAACTGCTCCAGCGAAAGCTGTAGATCACGATCTGATGAAGCCAATAAGACCACATCATCTGCAAAAAGCAGGGACGCAATCCTAAGGCCACCAAAACGGATCCCCTCAACACCTTGGCTGCGCCTAGAAATTCTGTCCATAAAAGTTATAAACAGAATCGTGACAAAGGGCAACCTTGGCAGAGTCCAACTCTCATAGGGAACAAGCCTGACTTACTGCCGGCAATGCGGACCAGGCTTTGACACCAGTCATACAGGGACCTAACAGCCCGTATCAAAGGGCCCGGTACCCCATACTCCCAGAGTACCTCCCACAGGGTTCCCCGAGGGACGCGGTCCAACACCTTCTCTAAGTCCACAAAGCACATGTAGACCGGTTGGGCAAACTCCCATGCACCATCCAGGACCCTGCTGAGAGTGTAGAGCTGGTACAGTGTTCCACGACCAGGACGAAAACTGCACTGCTCCTCCTGAATCCGAGGTTTGACTATCCGACGGATCCTCCTCTCCAGAACCCCCGAATAGACCTTATTCCAATTCAATTATTATTATTATTTTTTATATAATTGCTACAATTTTTTGTAGTTTAAACATTTGATATGTTTCCTACATTCCATTGGGAACTGCATTGATGTGATTTGCAAATCATTGCTGTTTATTTACATTTTACATCATGTCCTAACTTGTTCAGAATTGGTGTTGTATATTGTCTACATCATACCAGTTCTGACATCATGCTTCACTCCCTCCACAGATATTGTGGCATTAGGCAGCGGATTTCCCTCCACGTCTCTCACTACACCTTTTATTCCTCGATGCACCTGCAAAGAAATCACAAACTCTCAGCAGGATTCAGACTGAAAGTAAACTACAAAACATTTTAACGTTCACATAAAATGTCAGGGGTGTAAATATTTATGCAATCACATATTTGACATTAAATATTTTTATTAAATTTGTATTATTCTGCAGACCTTTAGTAGAACTTATTTTTAATCACTGTGATTGATTTATGACAGCAGGAAAAACCTAAAACATCCAAGGCACTGAATGCTTTTTATAGACACTGTAACTCTGCAACTTAACTTTTGGAGGTAACTCACTTTGGAAAACACAAAAATGTTGATAATTCAGCCAATTATCCAGATTTTAATCTCAAATGTGAGTTGGTTGTAGCTGATCTTACTTTAGAACTCTGAGAAGCAGCGGGTGAAAAGAACTTAATTTAAAGGTTTGCTTTTATGCTTTTTTTTAGACCTGTTTGGGAAAGATCATTTATAATGTCCTGCTACATAAAAATAAATTAGTCTTACTAGTACCTGAACCTACAGTATTTCTCTGACCAGTTCTTACTTGTTCCATGAAGGACAGCAGAGCCTCACGGTTGTTCTCCCACTCAAGAGGCAGCTCACTTTCATGGGGAAACTTGTCACAGCCGAGGAAAATAGAGAGCTCAAAGCAGTTAGTGTGCAGGTAGCTGAAGTCGTTCATACCTTTGGAAGAGAATGATGGAGAACTTTAGAGGAAATATGTCTATTTTTTTCCATCCAAGTTAGCATTCATGTTGTACTCAGAAGTTTTGGTCTTTGTCAGTCCTTCCCTGAAGATTTCTAAATGTTGGATAGTTAATAAATAAAAGCAACACTGAAGTTTTTATCTGAATTTGGCTCCCTGACTGGCCTTGATATGCAACCTTATCTTACCTGATCTTAATTTGCCTGGAAGCTCTGTAAACCTTCATGCTCTGCACAGTGATTTTCACAGTGATTTTTCTGGTTAGAGATTCATCAGCCTAACAGCCTCAGGGTAGAAGCTGTTCCTCAGTCTAGTGGTTCTACACTAAATGCTCCTCAACCTCTTTCCTGAGGGGAGTGGGGCAAAAAGTGTGTGTGCTGGGTGAGTGGGGTCCTTCATGATGCAGGTGGCCCTCTTTCTGCATCTAGAGGTGTAGATGTCTGTGATGGTGAGGAGACTAACTCCGACAGACTTCTGTGCAGCCTTCACCACTCTCTGCAAAGCTTTTCTTTCTGCAGCTGTGCAGCCTCCATGCCACACGTTGATGCTGGAGCACAAGATGCTCTCCACTGCACACCTGTAGAAGGAGGTGAGGACTGAGCTTCCCAGACCAGCTCACCTCAGCCGTCTGAGGAAGTAGAGTCTCTGATGAGCTTTCTTGATCAGGCTGGTGGTGTTGTTGCTCCAGCTGATGTTGTCATTCATGTGTACACCCAAGTACTTGTAGCTGGAGACCACTTCCACCGCAGATCCTCTTATGTTCAGGGGGGTGTAGGTGTTTTTGTTCCTTCTGAAGTCCACAATCATCTCCTTTGTCTTCTTCACATTGATGTGAAGGTTATTCTCTTTGCACCAGCTCTCCAGGTGTTCCACCTCTTGCCTGTAGCTGGACTCATCATTGTTTGTGATGCATCCCACCACCGCAGTATCATCTGCAAACTTTACAATGTGACAGCCTGGATGGGTAGTTGCACGATCATACGTGACCAGAGTAAACAGGAGGGGGCTCAACACACATCCCTGAGGAGAGCCAGTGCTGAGGGTTATGGTGGAGGAGGAGAAGTTGTGGATCCTCACTAACTGTGATCTGTCTGTTAAGAAGTCTAGTACCCAGTTGCAAATGGAGGGGCTTAGTCCTAATATGAATAGTTTGTCCATCAGGGTTTGGGGGATCATGGTGTTGAAGGCGGATGTGAAGTCCACAAAGAGCATACGGACATAAGAGTTTTTCTGCTCCAGGTGGTTGAACACAGTGTGGACCATAGAGGAGATGGCATCCTCTGTTGATCGGTTCTCACAGTATGCATACTGATGAGGGTCCTCGTTGATGTTGATGGTTGTTTTGATGTGAGTCATGACCAGTTTTTCGAAGCATTTAGCGACTATCGGGGTGAGGGCCACTGGCTGATAGTCATTCAGACCAGTCACTGTAGAGCTTTTTGGGACTGGGATGATGGTGGCAGTCTTCAGGCAGGTGGGACCTGTCTCCAGGGTAAGTGAGGTGTTAAAGATGTCTCCCAGCACCTCACAGAGCTGATTGACACATTCTTTCAACACTTTTCCGGGGATGTTGTCTGGGCCAGTTGCTTTGTATGGATTAATCCTCCTGAAAGTACTCTTTACTTCTGCTGAGGTCACGCTGAGATGCTCTTCATCCGGTGGTGAGGTGAGTCTGGTGCTGGGTGGTCTGTTCGTGTCTTCAAAGTGTACATAAAACTTGTTGAGGACATCAGGCAGAGATGGGTTTTTGGAGCATTGTTCGCTCCTTCCTTTATAATCTGTTATGCACTTAATGCCCCGCCACATTTTCCGAGGGTCTTGTGAGATGAATTGACCCTCAATCCTCTGTGCATATGTGGCCTTGGCCTTCTTAATACTAGCAACCAGCTCTTTCCTTGTCCTACTCAGCTCATATGAGTTTCCAGACCGGAAGGCAGTGTTCTTGGCTTCCAGCAGGGTGCGCAACTCTGCATTTAGCCAAGGTTTTCTGTTTGGGTAGCTTTTAACATATCTGATGGTGGAGACGGTGTCAGTGCATGTACTAATGTAACCCAGAACTGAGGACGTGTATTGGTCCAGATCAAGCGATCTTCCATTTTCAGCAGCTTCTCTGAAAACTTGCCAGTCTGTTCGATCAAAACAATCTCTCAGTATGGGGCCACTGTCCTAGATCCAACATTTAACTTTCTTTTGTACCGGTCTGGAGCATCTCAGCGGGGGCATGTAAGCAGGAGCCAGGAAGATTGAGATGTGGTCTGACAGTTCTAGGTGGGGGCGGGATTTGGCTTTGTATGCATCTTTTACGTTAGTGTAAAGACGGTCCAGCATGTTGTCTCCATGTGTTGGAATCGCCACATGTTGATAAAAGCTTGGGAGACAGTCCTTTAGATTCATGTGATTAAAGTCTCCGGCTATCACATAAAGAGCCTCGGGGTGTTTGTTCTGCAGCGAGCTGATTATATCATGTAGCTCCTGCAGTGATTCATTAGCATTAGTGTCTGGAGGAATGTAAATAACCATGATGAAAGTCACTGTGAACTCGCAGGGTAGATAATGTGGTCGACATTTCACTGTTATTTGCGCCAAAGTGTTCGAGCATGAGCTATTTACAACAGTACAGTTTGTACATCGACTTTTACTCACGTAAATGCATACTCCGCCTCACCATGACTTCCCTGTTAGCTCATTGCAGCGGTCCACTCGAAAAAAGAATCTGTCATCCAGCTGGAAGACTGTATCCGACGTTTCGCTTGTAATCCACGTTTCTGTGAGGCAAAGCACCGCACACTTCTTCATCTCTTCTGAGGCGCCCGTTCTCAGACGAAGTAAATCCATCTTGTTGTCCAACAAGCAGACGTTTGACAGAAAGAGAGACGGCATGGGGAGTTTTCCGGCTTTAGCGTTAGCTCGTAGCCTCACCATAACCCCCGCCCGGCATCCTCTCCTCTTAAGCCGGGAGCCGCGCTTCCTCTTCTGCCCGCTGGAACGCCTCTGCTGCAGCTTCCAGGTAGATGACTTTAAGATCTGCATTCTGCCGAGCGTAGTTTTGAGTTTGTTGCTGATTTCTGCTATATTTCGTGGCAAATCTGCTCCTATTCTCATCAGTTCGGTTCGGCTATAGTTCACACGCATAAATCGTGCGGAGTCAGGCACAGAGTCAATATCAAAACTTCTAAAAACTGGGATAGCACCGGGAGCCTGTGAAGCTGCAACTGCTCTGAGCGCGGCCATCTTGGCGTATAAAAGTATAATATAAGTATAAATCCCCAATTAAATAAGTATAAAATTTAAAATGAGCTGAAAAAATAAGCAAATCACAAGCTAAAAGCAATGCGCATGCTAAATTGAGCTAAATAGTAGAAAGCTTAAACAAGCTTAAACAACTTTCAACACCAGATGATCTGTGTTTTGATCCTTTATGCTCCATACTTGTTTGTCGTCATTATCTGCATCGTTTTTATGTCTATATTCTGATTTACCTCATTTTGTATATTGCTTTGTGTGTTACCTGTTGTTTTGTCTGTACAGCACTTTGGTTGGCCTTGTCGCTGTTTTAAGTGCTCTATAAATAAAGTGGTATGGTATGGTATGGCAAGTAGAGGAGTGAAACGCACAAAATAGTAGCTACAAGCAAAAAATAGCGAAGCAGTAACATTACAGTGGCTAAAAGCTAAAATTAGCCAAACAGTATTCAAAAGCTACATTTTAATTTGATAAAATTTTAAACTAGAAACTAAAACCAACTGAACAGTAGCCAAATGCTAAAAAGGCAGAAAGGTAGCTAAAACAAGATCTGGATTGTGGCTACAATGAGCAAAACTGCAACTCAAAGCTAAAATCAGCAAAAAATGTTCCTGAAAACTGTGTTTAGCAAATCGTAGCTAAAAGCTATAAAGTTTTGGAAAATTGTAACTAAAAGTTTTAATAAAGAAAACTGTATCTAAAAGCTAAAATTTGAAAGTATTCAAAAGCTCATTTTAGTAAAACAGTAACTACAAGATACATAGAGCATAAGTCAAAAACAGCAAGTATGCTTAAGTAGATTTAAAAGAGAACCACCGTATGTTTTAAAGGAATTAAAGAGATCTAATTTACTTCTTTGGAGAAAAGGTAGAAACATTGTTAACTGTTTTTGAAAAGTACAATATTTTGGTCGCAAAAATGTGCAGAAGAAACTGTAACCAGGATAACAATAGTTTTTTTGGATAACTTCTATGTTTAGTTTATGTAAACTCAACAGTCACCCAAATGTCTATTACTTACTACCAACCACTGGTTTCCAACTGGCTCTGTTAATGATGCCTTGGCCCCCTGTGACATCATCGCCATGGCAGGACCCTCTGTAAGTCTCTGTCATGGTAAGGTGGCTGTGGGCATAGGACATCGCCAACCAGCGAAACATGGCGTCATCAGGAGTCTCCCTCAGAGCTCCTTCATTCTGTCGCTGAATCCGAGCCCATGTCTCCTCAGTCATCTCAGAATTAACTCTCCATCGTCGGCTGTCGGTTAGCTTGCACATGAATACATTGTAGAATTACTACGAGTGCATAACCACTTACTGTGCCTGAACGTTGTCCTTCTTTGTTACATAAGCCTTACAGAAAATGGTGGACGTTGCATGTCAAAAGGGTAAAGCACCATTTTTTCTCCTCCTTGCAAATTAGCCCCCAATACAAATGGATTTCGCTCCATCCAGGAAATAATAGCTTTTGTCTCAGCTGCAATCTAAAAGAAGCAAAAAACAGAGAAATGCTAAGTTTTAATACATTTGGACAAAACTAATATGAAAAAAGTCTGGCCTCTAATGCTACTTAACAAACTCACAGAACCATTAAGGAAGTTTTCTGGGAGGGGGATGTGATGATTGGGTACTACACGAGGCACCCAGCCTCTGTCCTCAGCTCCCCACAAGATGCTGTTAAGATCTGGAAAGTTCTGGAAGATGTCATAACCTTCTTCAGTCCAATGACCCAACGCCCAGTTCCCCATCTCTGAGCCCTGCAGAGCAATTAAGGGAAAAATGTGAAGCTGAACAACATTTGAAGCTTGTAGCAGCTGACAGAGCATAATTAGCTGTAGAGTAGAAAAGTTCATCTTTCATCAGCATACAAGCAAACTTATAAATTTCTGACAGACTAATAGTAAATAAAACATAAGTGGCATCAGGATTAAGCCCTGATGAATCCCCTTGGTTGTGCTGAACTATCAGGAGGCAAGCTGGTTTCCTGATTACAAAAAACAATCAGAATAATCGGTAAACAGTTTTAAATATTCATGCTTGGTTCAAACCCCGGACCAGGGGCCTTTCTGGGTGGAGTTTGCATGTTCTCTCCATGCACGCGTGGGTTTTCTCCGGGTACTCCGGTTTCCTCCCACAGACCAAAAACATGCATGTTTGGCTGACTGGTAACTCTAAATTGTCCCTAGGTGTGAGTGAGAGAGTGAATAGTTGTTTGTCTCGTTTGTCTCTATAGCCCCTTATCCACGGGTCTTTTTGGTACTCCTATGTAACTAGTTGTGGCCGATTGCAGGATTTATCAACAATGCCTTTAACGGTGGAACCCACCCCATTTTTGGGACCTAAATCACTGAGGTCCCAGGTCTGGTTCTTTTAGGGTCTAGTTGTGACATCACCGCACTGTAGGTCACTGATTGGTCAGGGGGCGTATTCATTGGTGGAGGGCGGAGATTCAGTCTTCCACCGGAAATCACAATCCACCATTTTCTTTTTCACCCGCATAACAGACAACAAGAAATCGGAGGAGCTTATTTTGGAATATTTTATAAGGTAAAACAAATAATCATGGCACAACCGTGGTCGAATGCTGAAGTTCAGGCATTTCTCTGTTTGCTGGCCGATGAACAAGTGCAGCGCGAGCTAGATGGAACGAAACGAAATGAAAAGATTTTTCAAGAGGTGTCTGCGCAGATGGAGGTGCAGGGCTTCCATCGCACACCAAAGCAAAGAGGAAAGCTTAAAAAACTAATAGTTGATGGTGAGTGTATTTTATTTACTTTAAGCATATTTCCTTTTCCTCATGCAACCGTTTCTTTGCGTTTTCTGAAAGTACTCTGAACAAACGAGGCTGACGCGGTTACGTCGTCATTAGTTAGCATCATTGCTAACTGTACTCTGTTGCTGTTTTTCCACTCTTATTTTGATGCAGAAAGTCCCACTGAACATGAAGGTTCGCCAGATTCTGCTTTTGACTGTCCAATCCTCCCCGCTTCTGACCCTTCCCGACCACACCAGCTCCGAGTACATGCATGCCACCGGGCACATGCATGCCACCGGGCAACACGCAGCAGAGCGGCACCGAACAGCACCGGTTAGTAGGTAAGAAGCAACAATCGTGTTTAACATCACATTGATCATGTCGATATGAATGTTGTTTTGTTTTTGTTGTAAAACACCTTGCATGTATTCAAACTACTTGTTTATTCAGTTGTAATGGATAAATGTTAAATTTAGTTATTCATTTATTACTTAAACTTTCATTTATGAAGTTTATTATTGAAATTATACAGGGTGTAGTGATTTTTGTTCAGATTAACGATGCTCTGTTCTTTTTCTAAATTAGCACAAACGGTTGTAAATGACTACATGTAGTTTATTTATGCCCACCTGCTTACTATCATTAAAGTACTAGACTGCTTTATGAACAGAATCATTTCTGATCTTGTAAACAAACACCTTTTGAAATTAGCAGGAACTCAAAATTAGCAGTAACTTAAAAACTCTACCTGTACTTCATCATCTAACAGCCATTTTCTTGTGTGTTATTCCTAGGCAATAGAAAGCGCAGATCAACAAGTGCAGCAGAGAGCTTTGTTTCTGCACATACAGAACAAGAGGAGATGAACCGGAAGCAGAGAGAGGAACACTTCCATTTTATTTGTGAGGATGTCAAAAAAGCAAGGCAAGAAGAAGCTGCGGAGAGGCAACGCCAAGCTGCAGCAGCGAGGAAGCAGGAGAAGGCAATTAGGAGGGAGGAGATGGCCTTGAGGAGAGAGGAAGCAGATGTTCGCAGAGAGGAAGCAGCACAGCGAAGGCAGGAGGCTGAACAGAGTGCTGCTTTCAGTCAGGCACTCCTTGGGGTGCTGGAATCCATTGCCCGTTCCATGGCAAACAGACATGTTTAAAAATATTTAGAGTAGATCATAGTTATCTATAGAAATGTAGATCCTGCAAGGTAAGCCCACAAATAGCCAAACGTAGCTTGTTAAGTTTGCATATATAATTAGTGTATAATTGTTTTTTTTTGTACAGGTCTTTATTTCTAATAAAAGAAACATTTTCAAGTCTTGAGCTTCCATCTGATCATCAAAAGTGAAGTGCTTACAGTGTTTTTTTACGTCAATAGTGTAGCTGCGTGGTAAGCATAAACTCTGAAAGAGTTGTTAAATATCAAATCAAATGTAGGTTATTAAGTAATGTACGAAATAAATATATATATATATATATACATACATACATATATAAAAATCAAATTACAAAAAGACTATTAATCCCAGAGGGAAATTAAATGTAACTCATCATCCTGGTTTCATTAAAGAGTTGTTCTAGATGCTGATGGCTGTGGGCAGGAAGGATCTCTTGTAGCATCTGTCTTACAAGGGATCTGAAGAAGTCTCTGGCTGAAGA